CCCATCTTCCTTACATCCCACTTTCCATCCCCCTTTGAAATTTATTATGACTTTTTAGTCACACATTCGCTCACCACGTTCGCTACACTCTGCAACGAGAACCACGTTCGCTACGTTTTTGGAATTACACGATAATATTTAATCTCGACTTAAAACCCGATTTGCCCGTTTGCGCGATATCTCTCTGTAGATCCCGTTTGCTCCGGTCTCAGTCGAACCTCCAACGTTCGATATTCTTATACTTCGCTTGATACTGGATATTGAAAAAAAAAAAAAAATTATCATATTGTCTCGGCTAAAAGACAATTTCCCTCCCCAGACCTCTGTTTGGGTCTCAGAGTCATTAGGAAAATATTGGCTAGAAAGGAACTATTCAAGGCAGATCAGTTCATCAGCTTAAGGTTAGTGATAGAATGTGTCTCCCTTTGCCCACGGTCTCACTTCTTCCCCTCGTGCCTTGCATACTTCCTCTTTGGGCTCTTCATCTTTCTGGTGATTATCTCCTTGCAGGTTTGTATTCTCTTGAACTATACAGGAAATGACGATGGTGTCAAAGCCGTCGGATAGCTTCCCCGTCCCGCTATTATCAAGTGTTTGTTGTTGACATTAGACTTCTTTTTTTCAGGTTTAACGACCCTCGGATCTTGCATATTATCTTGGATTCAACAGCAAAATTTGGTCTCAGATCAGACCTTCTTTTCTTTTCCTTGTGAGTTCATATCCCCTATGCACCGGTCCGGTTCCCATCTGAAAACGTTCTCGTATACTCATTAATTGAGTAGCCTATCATCTGAATCTTATTCATTGTGGCCCAATCTGCTGGAAGTTTTCCCGAAACACCTCGCGGATCAAGTTGATAAAGAAAAGAGAAACCTTTCCAGTCCCACGCTCGTTGCTCGTCATCTTCCAACCAATCTCGGCTCTTTCCGTCGCAATTAGCGGTGGACAATTTCTTGGATATCTCCTCCTAACTGGTTCCATCTGCTTCTCTTTATGAACATTTGGGCATCACGGTCGAGATCTCAGCCTATTTCTGCAGCCAGCCGTTCCTAGTTTCAGCCTTAGTGGTTTATTCTTGGATGGTGATTCGAGGCCTTTTGTTGCCGCCCTTTTTGTGAGACCCAAAATCAGCTTCATCTTGTCGCTCGTTCTGTCTCGGAGAGCACTCTATTCTTGCTCGTGCTTTTCGACCTACAATCGTTTGGAATAAATTCCCAGTCATTCGCTTCAGAAGGTTCTGTCTCGTTGCACTCGCTGCAACATCTTCAAGCTGGCTTATTCGAAGACACACGGTGTTTTGGTAAGAAACTCCCACCTTTCGGACCTGTCTCTCTCCTTCCTTGTGTGGATGCCCGCATGTTTTGCATAGGTGTTCCAATGCCACCTCCTGTTTGAATCTTCTCGACCCTTGCCCTATTTTCCGTCTGAGAAACCTTTCCGCTGACATTGTCTCTTCCTTCGTAGTTCGACCCGGCCTTTCAAACGCCTCTCATACTCGGCGAGTCGTTGGATCTGTCGGACTCAGAAGAATCACAGTTTGTCGGTGCATTTTCGGACGGCCTGTGGGCCAAGTCTGAGCCCATATTGTCCATGTCTGCATTCCAGAAGCCCGTTGCCGGCGCCATAATTGGTACGTTGCTTGACGAACATGGTTTATTACTAGGAACATCCCGCTGAGACCAAACACAGATTACGGTTCCACTCGATCTTTACACGATGCGGCTTCTTACTCGAACTACGGTCAATCACCTTATGTGACGACCCCGATGGTTCCCTCGCCTATGGCCGATCAGGCAAGTCAGATCTCAGATTGCGTTCCATATCTGCCCAACGAGTACGCTAGCTCGTACGAAGAGTCTCAGTCACCCATGATGGGCGCACGCCACCCTCAGCTACCCGAAATTGTGACATACAGTCCCCAGCGCGGAAGTGAAGGAACTAGAGTGATGGTCCAGATTCAGTGCCCCTATGACCTCCACGCTTCCTCATACGCAGCTTTGTATGTGGTTTTTGGTTCAAAGAAGTGTGAATCGCTTCCGCATTTCCTTGGATTCCAGGGCTCCGCGTTCCAGTACGGTCTTTCCGCTGATGTACCTGCATTCTTGTCTACTGGATCCCCATCTTTTGCTGTCCCTCTGTCCGTCACAATGGAGACCCAGGATGACTCCCCCGCCACTTCCCTCCAGGTTGGTGTTTACACTTATGAGCAAGTTTCCCACCCTTCGCCTCCAGCCGATTCCCGCAAGCGAAAGTTCTCCTCCTACTCTGATATTCCTGCGGCACCTGCCAAGCGACACAACGGATCCGTGATCCCCAAGGTTGAACACCACGATGGCTACCACAGCCGATCTGTGTCTGCGTCGTATTCGCCTTACTTGCAGCCCCTTCCCGCCATGGCCGGATTTGTAGCACCATATCACGCTGCATCGTCTCCCCAGACTGGCTCTGGCCAATACTCTTCCGTGTCTGCCACCTCTCAGCCCGCTCTCCGTGTTCCTTCCCCTATCACCCCAGCGTGGAGCCCCTCTTTCGTCTCTGTGAGCAATGATGGTCGCAACGGAGGCCTCGCCTTGACACACGGCCCCCAGCACAAGGCTCCCGCCCAGCGTGGTACCTCAAATCCCACTTTGATTCGCACCTCCACCATGCAAACGCACTCCATGCCACACAACTCAGCCTTCAACCCCTATGCCATCTATCCCACCAAGGCTATCCTGAAGCTCAACGGTGACCTTGATACTATGACACAAGGCTGGTCTAAGGAAGAACGCACCTGTCAACGCCGCCTGGTCCAATTTACCCGCTCCCAAACTGGCAGCACTATCCTGGGCGAGTTCAAAGCTGTTACTCCCGAGGATCGCGCCCCGAGCAGCATCTGTATCAGCTGCATTTCCTGGGCGGACAAGAATGAGTGCTACGTAACCAGCGTGGATACTATCTATTTGCTCGAGTCTCTTGTGGCTGTGCGCTTCACTGTTGAAGAAAAGAATCGTATTCGTCGCAACTTGGAGGGATTCCGCCCTCTGACGGTCTCCAAGGCCAAGGTCGACAGCGAAGAGTTCTTCAAGGTCATCATGGGCTTCCCTGCTCCCAAGCCTCGCAATATCGAGAAGGATGTCAAGGTCTTCCCCTGGAAGGTCCTGGGCCATGCACTGAAGAAGATCATTGGAAAATACGTAAGTTTTTGGAGCTCCCCAGCTCACCGTGACAGGTTATTAACTCATGTCTACTATTTAGTCTGCTAGCTATTCCTCAACCGCCAGTGCTCTCCCCACCCCAATGACCACCACCTATACTAGCCATGCTAGCCATGGCACTGGTTCTGATTCCGGTACCGAGCCTCACACTGCAAACTCCCCCCAGTCTATCTCCGACGCCGGTGCGGGGAACACCTACACTGGTATGCCAGCTCATAGCTACTCACAGGCAGACCACTCCGCCTCCCACTTGTCTTCTGCCCCTGATCTCCGATCCATGGTCGCAGTGACTCAGCCATATACATCTGTGGGAGGATACTCGTACCCAGCCACCTGCCATCCTCACAGTGTCCAAGGTCAGGCAGCCCCGGCTCCCCGACCATCTTGGGACATGCACACTCTTGGCCACAGCACTCCTCACACTGGCGCACCAGGAAATGGTCCATGCTATACCTACTTGGATCCCGTGTATTCCATGCACGACACGGCACACGGCGGCCACTGATCCTCCTGGCTGGACCTCCCTTTGCTCTTTTGCTGCGTTCTCGTTCCATTCTATTCATACTTCCCCTTCTGCGTTTTGGAGATACGATTTTCCTTTTCTTGTCATTCCTTACCCAGCCGAGACCGCGGGTTGCCGTCCCATCAGACACAATGTCCCTTTCCACCTGAAAAGGTAGTAAGGACGTTGTATCTGCCGGATCTTGCACCCGCCCACTGATCATGATTTCATGTCCCTCCTTACACTACAACATTATGATGCCTGATGCCCACGCCATACACCCAAACATTTGGTCTTTGCATATCTGCTTTTGTTTTTTTTTGAGATTTTGGACTTTGTTCCACTCTGAGACCTGTTTCTCGCATCTAGACGGTGTCTTGTTCATTCCTTTTTTGGGTTGCATATTTTACATGCCGGGCATTGCGGCTTCCACTCCTTTTTTTGCGCACAAAACATACATCTGGGCCTTTGTACTACTATTCAGCATAGCGGGCGCTTGCTTGTCATTCCTTTTGCATTTGCGGGTTATTTTTGGGATATGGGATAGACTTTGGGGGGTTTTTATTGGATTACTTGGCGGTTTCGTCCCTTTTATCCAACTCCTTGGTGCATTTTGGACAGGGTTTTTGGGTGGTGCCTAGCACAATGAGGTCCTCTTCTTGTGTCAGGTCTTCCTCTCTCATCGCTGTTTACTTTTCACTTCTCTGTTTGAAATTTTGGTTTGGAGTTCATTTGGTACTTACCACTTCTTGTTATTCAGCTGAGGGTTGTTGTCACTTACTACCTACTGCATTGTTCTGGCGTTTGGAACTTGAACGGTTGGACCGTTTATCATCCTACTTTTTTGCCTTAATTTTACCTATTCTGAGTCCTAATTGTTGAATTTCAGATCATCAGATCACTTTCATTTGAAACAACTGTAAACGAGCCCTATCCCTTGTACAACGTAGTGATAGACTAGCTGAACAGCGATGTAAATCATATCACGTGGATAGGACAACCCTACCTAAACGTCATCCTGAGATAGGCACGATAAGATCAGCTGACTACTATCTTATCGCAACACGTGACATGCGGGGGCCCAGCGAAACCGGCCTCGAAAAAAGGGCAGTTACAGTTGAGTCATACAGATCCATTGTTTGCTTTTTTATATCATCATCCCATTCCTCACTTAAGCATTCCCGCCGTAATTACCCCAGCCGCACATATATATTGGGATTGTTTGCTTCCCATTGGTCTCCTCCTTTCACCTTTCTTCTTATCACCCTCTCTGCCCCGCCACCCACACATCGTCTTTCATTATGGATGCTATTAAGCAGACCTTCGCGAAGTGCAAGGCACAGAAGCGCGCGGCCCTTGTGGCATACATCACTGCAGGATATCCCACCGTTGAGGAGGCTGTCGATATCCTCCTTGGTCTCGAGAATGGTGGTGCCGGTAAGTCAAATCCCAAGTGAACTTTGCTAAGAGGGATGATGTTACTAATAATCCTAATTCACATCACAGACATCATCGAGCTCGGTATCCCTTTTACAGACCCCATCGCCGATGGTCCTACGATTCAGACCGCTAACACCAAGGCCCTTCAGAATGGTGTCACTCTTACCACCGTCCTTGACCTTGTCCGCACTGCCCGCAAGCGCGGTCTGCAGACTCCTCTTATGCTGATGGGTTACTTCAACCCTGTCCTCAAGTATGGTGAGGAGCGTATGCTCCGTGACTGCAAGGAAGCTGGTGTCAACGGTTTCATCATGGTTGACTTGCCCCCCGAGGAGGCTGTCCGTTTCCGTGACCTTTGCTCAAGCGCTGGGTGAGTTTGTCTCAATTCTTACTTCTTCCTTTGAAATATCTCACTTGTCTATGATATTCTAACATGCTAACCATATTCCAGTCTCTCATACGTCCCTCTCATTGCCCCTGCTACCTCTGATGCTCGCATGCGTCTCCTTTGCAAGATTGCCGACAGCTTCATTTACGTCGTTTCCCGCATGGGTGTGACCGGTGCCACCGGCTCATTGAGTGCCAACATCCCCGAGCTTTTGAGCCGGGTTCACGAATACTCCGGTAACGTCCCTGCTGCACTTGGATTCGGTGTCAGCACCCGTGAGCACTTCCTGTCCGTCCAGGAACAGGCCGAGGGTGTTGTTATCGGCAGCCAGATTATCACTTGTGTTGGCAACGCTCCTGCTGGGCAGGCTGCCAAGGCTGCCGAGGAGTACCTCTCTAGCATCACCGGACGCAAGCGTGAGCGTGATGCCACTGGTGCTTTCACTCGCGAGATCAACGTCCTTGAGGCCATTGAGAAGGCCCAGCCTTCTGGTCAGGTGCAGCCCACCAAGGTCATCACTGATGCCGATACTCCCTCTGGACCTGGTCTCGCTGACCAGATTGAGGCTCTCAACATTACAAAGGATGCTTCTTCGCAGCCCTCCCGCTTCGGCGAGTTCGGTGGACAATATGTCCCCGAGTCTCTCATGGATTGCTTGGCTGAGCTTGAGCGTGGCTTCGACGTTGCCAACAACGACCCCAAGTTCTGGGAAGAGTTCCGTTCTTACTACCCCTACATGGGCCGTCCCAGCAGCCTCCACATGGCTCAGCGTTTGACTGACCACGTTGGCGGCGCCAACATCTGGTTGAAGCGCGAGGACCTTAACCACACCGGCAGCCACAAGATCAATAATGCGCTTGGACAGATTCTGATTGCCCGTCGCTTGGGCAAGACCCGGATTATTGCCGAGACTGGTGCTGGCCAGCACGGTGTTGCTACTGCCACCGTTTGTGCCAAGTTTGGTATGAAGTGTACCGTCTACATGGGTGCCGAGGATGTGCGCCGCCAGGGCCTCAACGTCTTCCGTATGAAGCTTCTTGGCGCCTCCGTTGTTGCCGTCGAGGCAGGAAGCCGAACTCTTCGTGATGCAGTCAACGAAGCCCTTCGCGCTTGGGTCGTCGAGCTCGATACCACCCACTATATTATCGGCTCAGCCATCGGTCCTCACCCCTTCCCCACCATCGTCCGTACCTTCCAGTCCGTGATCGGTAACGAGACCAAGGAGCAGATGCAGGCTCAGATTGGCAAGCTCCCAGATGCCGTCATCGCCTGTGTTGGTGGTGGTAGTAACGCCGTCGGCATGTTTTACCCATTCTCTAACGACCCCAGCGTCAAGCTTATCGGTGTTGAGGCTGCTGGCGATGGTGTCGACACCAACCGCCACTCCGCTACTCTCTCCGGAGGTTCCCACGGTGTCCTCCACGGTGTTCGTACCTACGTTCTCCAGAATGAGCACGGCCAGATCGCTGATACCCACTCCATCTCTGCCGGTCTCGACTACCCCGGTGTCGGCCCAGAGCTGAGCAACTGGAAGGATAACAAGCGCGCCACTTTCATCGCCGCTGACGACAGCCAGGCCCTCGCTGGTTTCCGCGCTCTTGCCCAACACGAGGGTATCATCCCCGCCCTGGAATCGTCACACGCTGTCTGGGGTGTCATGCAGGTCGCCAAGACTATGGAGAAGGGTCAGAACATTGTTCTTAACCTGAGCGGTCGTGGTGATAAGGACGTTCAGCAGGTAGCTGACGAGCTTCCCCGTTTGGGACCTAAGATCGGCTGGGACTTGCGCTTCTAAGCGCTTTCGAATATTCTCAAGTGCTTTTTCTGCGTCTGGATGAGATATCCTAGTTTTCCTTGTTCATTTTTTTCGGCTTTCTTTGACATGAGGCTTTCATGAGTCTTATCATGGTTTTATGCTTACTTTGCGGGACGGTCATAGAAAAGCGTTTCATCTAGCATTTCTCTTTATTCTTATGGGGATTCCATCCTTTGGATGGAGATTAGGAAAAGAAAAAAAAATCAACATATCCCCTTTTCGGTCTTTTGGTTTTCCCTCGTAGTTGTAGGATCCTAATGTAGTCTCTTATCTACCACCTACAAAAGACCACTATACAAAATCCACGAACTATTCCATAATTTATAAACAGCAAAAATAGCCCTGAAATAGATTCGATGTATCAAGAGATCAAAAAAATAAAAACAACCAAGAAAGATACGAACAGCCGCAAGAACAAAAGATAGGAGTATATGCAATTGACACAAAAACAGGACCTAATCCCCTCAGAGCTCTCCCACTAAAATAAAATAGTTTACTTCAAGCCCAAGACCCAGGATTCCCCTCACCTCATGCGTCGATCAGGTTCTCGTGCGAGTTATCGCGGGTATCCTTGTTAGGGATCTTACGTGCGTGGCGGGCGTAGAACTCGTCGAGAGTGCGCTTGGGGACACGGTTGAGGAGTTCCTTAGGGTAGATGCGGAGGAGGTTCCAGGCGATATCGAGGGATTCTTCGATGGTGCGCGCCTCGTAGGGAGACTGGCTGATGAAGGTGCGCTCGAATTTTTCAAGGAATTCGAGGGAGAGCTTGTCTTCCGAGGAGAGGGCTTCTTCTCCGACGACGGCTTTCATGGCGGCTGGTTGGGGTGGTTAGATGTGATTTCTGGGAAGGGTGGAATGGATGGCTTACCGGCATCACGACCAATGGCGTACTTGGCGTACAGCTGGTTGGACACATCTGAGTGATCCTTGCGGGTGCGGCCCTCGCCGATGGCGGACTTCATCAGACGTGATAGAGAGGGCAGAACGTTGATGGGTGGGTAGATACCGCGGTTGTCGAGCTGACGGTCAATGAAGATCTGGCCCTCGGTAATGTAACCAGTCAAATCGGGAATGGGGTGGGTGATATCTGTAGGGGTATGGGTTAGTAGGTTCGGCTTGGAGAAAGATGGCATAAGTAACGCACCATCATTAGGCATGGTCAGAATGGGAATCTGTGTAATGGAACCGTTACGGCCCTCGACTCGTCCAGCACGCTCGTAGAGGGTGGACAAATCTGTGTACATGTAACCGGGGTAACCACGACGACCGGGGACTTCTTCTCTGGCAGCGGAAACTTCACGTAGGGCATCACAGTAGGCGGACATGTCAGTCATAATAACCAGGACGTGCTTCTCGAGCTGGTAGGCGTAGTATTCGGCGGTAGTCAGGGCAAGACGAGGAGTGATAATACGCTCAATAGTAGGGTCGTTGGCCAAGTTCAGGAACAGGGTGACACGCTCCATACTACCGTTCTCCTCGAAGTCGCGCTTGAAGAAACGGGCAGTCTCCATATTAACACCCATAGCGGCGAAGACGACGGAGAAGTTCTCCTCGTGGCCGTCGTGAACATCCTTAGTGGGCTTAGCTAGACTGGCTTGTCGGCACACTTGGGCGGCAATTTCGTTGTGTGGTAGACCAGCGGCTGAGAAGATAGGGATCTTCTGTCCACGGGCAATAGAGTTCATCGTATCGATAGCTGAGATACCGGTGGAGATCATTTCCTCCGGGTACACCTTGTCCATTCGTTAGCTTCCCGTAGCTCCATCTTATATAAGTGATGGTGCGCATACTCGAGAGTAGGGGTTGATAGGCTGGCCGTTGATATCCAAGTAATCTTCCGCCAACACCTTAGGACCCTTGTCGATAGCTCGTCCCGAACCGTCGAATGTTCGACCTAACATGTCTTCGGAAACACCAAGTTTCAAGCTGTGGCCACTGAACTCGACTTTGGTCTGGTCGGTCTGTCAGCGTATGGTTCGAACGGTTCCCACGGGTAATTGTACCTTCTTCACATCGATACCGGGAGTACCTTCGAACACCTAGTTAACAGCGAGCTACGTTAATGTCTTGCATGATAGGGGTGAGGTCTTCGTCCGCACCTGCACAACAGCTCGATCTCCTATTTGTATATATAGCTGTCAGCTTCCATACTCCTCAACGGCAGAATGTGGGGAACGGACCTCTGGCTTCCAACACTTGACCGCTGCGCTCTGTGCCATCAGGGAGTGTCAAAGACACGATCTCGTTGAAACGGGGAAACTTGACCTATTTTGAAATGTTGGTATTAGCATAAAATCCCCCCGTTAAATTGTCAGAAGTCAACTTACATTGTCGAGGATGACCAGAGGTCCGTTGATGCCTCCAATGGTATTATAGCGCACACGAGGCTTGATGGAGGACATCCGGGGGTCAATAAAATCGGCCATGGTGAATCTAATCCTCCACGGGCGAAATTGAGAGTAGAAAAGGCAAGGATGGGGAAGATAGTCAAGGTGGGACTCGGGGGGTTGGTCTAGCTGTCTCGATGGGGAGCTTGGGCGGTGACGTTGCACGTGATGACCAAGATTGCGTAGGTTCTCATGGGGGCAGCTAAGCCCAACTTGGACTGGATCTAAGCCAGAGGTATATTTTTGATATACATGAATGCATCAACAGCCTTCACGGCTAGAAATATTTCTATATTTACATAATGTACAAAGTTCAGTGGAGGCTATCTTGTATTTCAAGGTGTTATGCATTAGACACCACTATTAATCAATTAAGCACATTATTGTACTGATAACGAACAATATTAATGCGAAAGACCCGAATCGAGAATGGGAAAAAAGACAGGAGAGAAGAGTGAAGTCGTCATAATGTGAGATCCTGAGCCCATGAAAAGCAGGGTATCCATACACGTTAAATAGAGATAGTAAGAAACCAGGTCTAATGCACCATTTGCAAGATAGGCGCCTCGCCATGATGCGATCCATAGAAATGCAAGCCAGAGAGTTAATAAAGAGCGCACGGAATCAGTCCACTTTGGCTTGAGCAAGACTCTTCGGGGTAACTAGATTGTTGGATAGGCGCACATTCGCAGTGCCCTTTAGCTTTTCTTTCCATGTATGCCTCTTCAGCTTTCGCCGTGCAACCATTACCGGTACAGAGGAATTAGAAAGAAGATAGTTGGAGAACGAGCCAAGAAGGACGCTAAAGGCAAGATTAGTATTGACTAAACAAGAGATTCAGATTCGCCACTCACCCCTTCAGTGCACTCTGACCTCTCGCACCCACGATAACAAGTGTGGGCTCAAGTTCATCAATCTAGGAGTCATTGTTAGTATGGATCAGAGATAATAGGGATGTTGAGAGCAAAACAAATACTTACAGCTTCGGTGATCATAGACTTCGGGTTCTTGCAGTGGATCACTTCCACAGCAATACGGACTTGTAAGACCGTTTTCCGTAGCAACTTCACACAAGTCTGAGACACCGTCTCAACTGCTCTCACCCGTTCCGCCTCGGCTATTGATGATGCCCGGGAATCAGCAGAATGTGTCTTGCTAGCAGTACCAGGGCCAAGCCGGCCTAGGATCGTACGGGATGAATAATTCTGGTTTGCTTCTTTTGTCTGGGTGCCAACGACAGCTGTTGCATCTTTTATAACTTTGGCCCCTTCGCCGACCTGCACCGCTGACGCAGTAGTGGAGTCCTCGTGTATGGCGTAGATGGCGAAAATCGTATCTCCGTCTCTCAGAACCGTCCCAATCGTCCACTCAAGGGCATAAACTGACTCTTCACTCAAGTCAGTTGCAATTAAATATTTCCGACGGCGACGCCGGCTCCCATCATCCTGCGGACTTGAAAAATTGCCGCGGACAATTGTACGGATGGAACGGTTGTGAACACCATTATCAATAGCTGACATGGAAATGCCGAGCTTCTGTGCACGATGGATGTCACCAATCTCGGCTTCATCTTCTGAACCGTAAGGTGTGCCAGCCACTGACTGAACACGCGGGGTGGGGATGTCGAAGCTGGTCTGTGGATGGACCACAGCTTTCAAAGCAGATTTTCGTGGTTTCTTCTCCTGTCGTGCACTTGGGTTTTCAAAAGCTTTTTCTATACGATGCGAAATTAGTATGTTGGATTTCCATTTAACACAAGGCAACATACGTTCTTCGGATTGCTTGGAAATATTGGATTTCTCAAAGTCGCTTGGCGTTATAGATGTGATATCCGAGTGCTTCTTTTTCTTGCGGCCTCGTAAACCATCTAGAGTGCTGTCTTCGTCGCTCGAAGTATCTTCGTCTTCACTGCTTTCGATCATGTTTTTGTCGCGATCAAAAACGTCTTTTGCTAGTCGCTCCCCTCCCTCCTCGACGGCTGTGGGTTTGATATAATCAGGCAGGCTTCCATGGGGTTTAGCCAACGCCTCATCTGACTTGTTGAATGTATCATGCATGTTCAACGACTTCCCTGGATTAACAGGGGCGGGTGTTATGGTTTCAACGTGAACGGAATGACTGCCAGAGGAACTGGGGCGACCCCGCTCTGGTGAAGGAGTGGAATTGGCGTCGAGAGACGATCCACGCGGGGAAGGTCCGCGTGATGAGTCTCTGTCTCTGCCACGGGAAAAGCTTCTTGGGAAGAGACGGCCAGACATAATGGCAGCCACACCTTTGCGGCTCTGTGACCTATCTCGGGCCTGCAAAAAACGCTTTTTAATGTGCGGCTGCTCTAGAGAAGTGGACTCTAGAGAAGAAGCGACATCAGATTTTCCACCATCGCTAATACTAAGGCGACGCGTAGTTGAACGGACAGTTTCAACAGGTTGGTCGGATGATCTACGAGGAAGATCCTCGCGATCTGCGCTATGCCTCTCTGGCGAACTTGGGGCGGATGCCATATCTGAAGAACTGATGCGCAAAGGCGAGGATACAAGTGGCTCGACTGGGCTGCGGGTTCCGCCTCTGGGCGAATAGGTTGTCCCGCCCGCACTCTTAGATTGCGGGGCGATCAGCAGATTCTGCAGGGCGCGGCTTAGGCCCGGTGGTTTCTCGTTTATTGTCGTTGATATTGTACGACCATCCAAGCTTTTCAGTTGTTCAGTGGGAGAAGTTCGATCTGTGTGGTACGACATGGCGTCGCACCGCCTCCGGGTGGGGAACTCAGCAGTCAACTCCGCCAAGCACTGAGGAATGTGGAGCAGATCGCCCTGTTATGACGGTACGGAGTAGGGATGGGGTCTTTAGCTGCAATGAATTGGGAACAATTCAAGATCCGACAACTTACACAGGAAAGTCAAGAATCCTGCCAACATTCGATAGTTGCAGGCTTGATCGATGTTCGGCAATTGGATTCTGCGCAAGCGATATACTGGGGTTGAAAGTAAAAGAACACAAAGAGAAGCAAGAGGGAAGATAGGGAGAAGGAGCCCAGGGTGAGGCTTTTTACTGCAGCCACTGTGGCTGCATCTTCACCTTCAACCATGTCTTTTCGTAATTTATGTCTTTCACGATGTCTTCTCCGAAATAGTTTCTTTGGATGTCTTTTTCGATGTATCTTTGAATATCCTCCTTTTCCTTTATCGGTGTTATAGTCAAAGGAATGAAAGGGTATAGTGGTATGCAATTACAAAACTCCCAGTAAACCTACACGATAAACGCCTGGACATGACACATGAATGCTACAGGAGGAAATAAAGACCCTGGTTTAAGCCTTAGTCCTCTTCGACTTGGGTTTCGTCCCCTTTCGAGCCCCGACAGCAGCAAATGCTTCCTCGGGGGGCTCATCATCGACACCACGCTTCTTTCCAGGCTGCGCATACTTCTCCTCCAAGCGAGCGAGGAAGCCCGCACCACGATCTTGCTGGCGCTTGGTGATAATAGCCAGCAAATCATTCTCATTCGCTGCAGACTTCGAGCTCTTCGCAGCCCCAGCTTTCTTCTTCTTATCCTCAATCTCCTTCCCCAACTTCTCCGCCTCCCGCGCCTCCTTCTGCGCCTTCTTTACCCGCTGCTGTTTCTTCTTCTCGGGCTCCTTGGAATATCTCTCGAAATCCTCCACTTCGCCATCCGCAATGGCCTGGTCAATAATGCCGCGGAACCGTTTGTCGTCATCTAGTACATTGGACAACATCACGGTGTCGTAGATGGCATCCATATTGCCCTCGTGCGTCTCATACGCAGCGAGCAGGTCCTTTCTCTCTTCATCTGAGTTTTGGTATTTCTTCTGGAAGTCCGAGATCGCCCGCGAGTCGAGCATCGCTGATAGTTGTTCGCGGTAGAAGTCCATCCAGTTGAAGTCACCATCTTCGCCGAAGGCTTCATCCGTGCTGCCGGTCCGGTCGTACACGCTTCGTCGACGTGCGTCAGAGAGTACTCCGTACGCCAGCGCAATTCGCTGGAACTTTGCGTTGGCATCTGCGCGGGCTTCTTCGCTCACCTTATCTGTTCCGTGGTTAGTATGTTGGACGTTTTCGGACCTGTGTTGGTTTGCATACCGGGATGATTTCTTAGAGCGCTCTTCTTGTATGCAGTTTTGATGGCTTCCGGGGTTGCATCGGACGCAACACCTAGAATCTTGTAGAGATCTTCCTCGACAGAGGGCATTTCTTCGTCCGAGGCATGGTTTTCGCGTTTCGCGTTTTTCGCCATTGTGGGTTTTCGGTGACACGCTAGGTGTCGGGGTTTCTCGAGCACTAGGAAAAAGGGCTGAGTGCGATTTAGATATAATGAACTGAATTTGAATTTAATAGATGAAAGACCAATAATAGTGGCGACTACACTAGCGTAAGTCGTAGAAACGGAACGCGATTTAGACGCGACGGGCCATTTCGTCATTTCGTCATTCTGCTGCTGCTCCCCGCCTGGCCTATCAACCCACTTTCAAGCACCTCAAGCTCATCGACAGCGCCACTTCACTCTCTTCGGATTTCAAGAGCTACAGAGATCATAAGAATCCTATCCTGCATCATTATTCTACATCCAAAACAAAGGCTTTATCAATTCCCCTTCCACACTGAACAACCCAATCCAATCGCAATTGACATCACTCACCATGACGACAACCACCTCCCCTCACATACCCTACATGAAACAATGCCTCTCCCTAGCGGAAAAATCACCCCCAAGGCCTACCAACTTCCGAGTCGGTGCAGTTCTGCTATCCCGCAAAGACAACGACCCCACATTCACAGACGACCGTATCCTCTCGACGGGGTACACAATGGAGCTCGCAGGCAACACACACGCAGAGCAATGCTGCTTCGCCAACTACGCCGCAGTGCACAAAGTCCCCGACGATAAAGTTGCCGAAGTTCTCCCCGTCGAGTCCGGCCGCAAGCTCATTATGTACGTGACCATGGAGCCGTGTGGGAAGCGGTTGTCAGGGAATACACCGTGTGTGCAACGCATCACACAGACAGCGGAGGGCAGACGAGAGGGGATCCATAAGGTCTATTTTGGGGTTAAGGAGCCTGGCACATTTGTTGGCGAGTCCGAAGGGTGTCGCTTGTTGACTCAGGCGGGCATTGAGTGGGAGCATGTTAGTGGCATGGAGAAGGAAATATTGACTGTTGCTTTTGCGGGGCACGAGAATGCGGAGAAGGAAGTTAGGACTGCATTGGGGGAGAGGGAAACTAACGTTGATGATATTAGTGCTGAGGAGAGGAAGAGACAGGAGGCGATGCCGAGGAATCCGTTGAAGAGGATGATGGAGGGGGATGAGCATATCTATCTATAGAGATCGTGGAGTATGCTACATAGAGTATTGAAAGTAGTGCTACAGAAATCAGCAATTAGTATGTCGCATTGCCAATATCGGCTGGTTGAAAGCCTTGAGACAATGGAATGAAATGTCAAGAGGTAGCCATGGGTAAATCAATCGACATATCACCAAGGTGTACTCCAGAGCTCCGTATCATGAAGACACAGGAAATATTTGCCTTGAGAAAACCCGAAATAACACGCCCCACGACTTTAATTATATACAACCACGTGACATCATTCCGACTTTCAACGCGAGTTCCGGTTGCCAGCTCAGAATACAACTCTTATATATTTTTTGATATCTCCAAAACAAGAACATCCCGAGGAAAAAGATGACCCAATGGCAACTGTCACCAATGAGAACCTCGTATTCTATCCCGCGTTCTGCTTCAAGGCGTCACCAACGCACTTTACCTGGGTGAAAATGAGTGCAGCCGATGTGCATCGTCTCCGAAGATCTAGTAGCTTTGTGGGTATGTTTATTCTTTTTCCGAGCTTACTGCCAACTCTTTGTGTCCCGAGAGATCGGCGCGTTTAGGGCGCAGTGGCATATTTCCGGGCCCTCTAGCGTGAAGGCTTGGAAAAGAAGCGTTAGCGTGAAGAAGTTCATTTGATATCTTCCGTGTCTATACTTGATTTGCAGTACCCCCAGAATTTCTACACCAATACCCTCTGTCATGCTTTTCAGCCTACTCAAACATATTCTATCTTCCTATTACCCAATATCTCCCTCCCATCCAACGAAAATGCAACCAAACCTATCTATACAGGATGAAAAACCACATTACTAACAAAACCCACAGGCCAAAACATCTTCTTCTACAACAATCACCCAATTCAATTCGTCAGCCTAGTAGGCGTGATAGTGGCGCGAACTGATTTCCCATGGCGCACAATCTTAACACTAGACGACAGTAGCGGTGCAACAATCGACATAGCCGTACTTAAAAAGACCACACCAAAACCAGGGACTAGTCAAGAAACCCCTACCACAGACCCAGAACAAACTGAATGGTCTTCATTTTCCCTCACAGCACCAACAGCTACCAGCCTCACCCAAACAACACACATAACCTCCAAAGACCGCGATGAGATAGATATCTCAGCTCTCCAACCAGGAACGCTAGTTCGGGTAAAGGGGACATTGTCAACCTTTCGTTCGCAGATGCAGTTACTTCTCGAGCGGTTCTGGCTCGTGCGCGATACGAACGCTGAAATGCAGTTCCTCGATACCCGTCTGCGGTTCCTTGTTGAGGTCTTGTCTGTGCCGTGGGTGTTGACTGACGAGGAGATTGAGAAGCTGCGTGATGATGCCGAGAGGTGTGATGAGCGCGTGCTGGAGGATAAGAGGCGGGCAGAGAGGGCTGCCAGGAAGAGAATTGAGCGTGAGGAGAGGCATGCTAGGGCTATTGCGCGCCGGTATGAGAAGGAGGAGAATGAGAGGGAGAGGGAGCTTAGGGAAATTAGAGAGGATGGGGAGAGGGTCATGAGGAAGTTCGGGTTTGGGGCGTGAGATGATCACATTGGATGTTTTCAGTGTTGGATATGTGTTACACTTTTCCATTCCCAATGCTATAAAAGTATAATCTCACATGTATTCAGAACAGAACGTCAATCACATAAGATATCATAAGTCATGCACCCCAGAAAGAAGGGGTATATTCGTATCCATGCAGCGCCAAATTAGAATCAAGAAGAAAGTTAAGACCGAGAGTTAGGAAAGAAAAATGACACATGCAATAATCGCCAAAGTACAGAAACCAAAACATAAAACCAAAAGCTAACATCCCTCACCGGTATGCATACTTATCATACTTATCATACCAAGCCCCAGAACCCCCATTCTGTCCACTCCGATAATACTCCTCTTCACTGCCCCGACTACCGCGATGATACCTGCGCGCATCATCATCGTTCGCAGTAGGCGACTCGCTATACGCCAAATCATGCGCCGATAGACCTGAATATCTAGCCGAATGATCACGACCATGCAAATCACTCTCCGAATGCCTGTAGTCACCGCCTCTGTGGTGCTTTCCGCTCTGCGACGAGCTACGGGAGTCATGTGAGAACCGTTTATCGGTAGAATGACCAGATCCCGAGCGTGAGAAATGCGGGTCGCGGTCATAAGAGTCAGACATGTATGCTGGAGTTGGTCCTGATGCTGGTCCCTTGTAGGTCGAGTCTGAGGGTCGGGACGTGGAAAAGGAGCTCGCGTGACTGCGGCTCGGGGCTGATTCGTCGTAGACTTTGCCGACACCTGGATTTGCGGTGTAGGGCTTGCGTTCGCGCTCGATTGGCACTGAGGGGGCAGGTTCGTCTTCATCGTCTGTAACGGCAGTTGAGACGGGTCTCGGTTGTGGTTGGGCTGATCTTGGGGTTGAGCCGGTGGGGCGGGGTCGGCCTCGCTCGTATGAGTGGGCTCGTTCTGTGGGTGATCCGGTTGTGGTGGATGATCGGGTTGGTCGGGTGGATTGGTTGCGTTCTTCAGGGGTGATGTATGGGAGATCGACGCCGCAGTGGATCATCATGCGGTCCTCGATGTCCTCTCTGATTGCGATATCTCCGACTTCTGGGAAGAGGCGACGCGGGAGTTCCTTCGGGAAGCGCTCTTTCTTGTCGTCTGGGTTGTTGATGGGCATGTTGAGGACTGCTTTTTGGAGTCGCTCGTATTCGCGCCCTGGGTTTGCGAGGATCATCAAGGTTGCCCAGGTCTCGAAGCCTTTGGGGGTTAGGCCTGGGATATCTGGGCGCTTTTCTATATCATCTTGGATGAGATGATGTTCGACCTTGAGTTCGCGGAATAGTCGGGATATCGACGATGTACGATCGTCGAAGATGTCTAAATATTTAGTCAGAATATGGAATGTCAATGAGCAGATCAGACCACCAACCTTGCCATGGATAAGGGTCGCTTGGATCATGAGTATCACGATAGAACTTCTGTAACTTGTGAGGAGGGATGACAATAGTGTTTCCCGGCGGATAGTCCTCAATCTACTCAAGTTAGCCATCAAAATTCATAGTATATAAGAACAGACAGAAATCCACATACCAGATGAACAGCGATCCCCCGTAAGAATTGTCCAAGTCTCTTTGTCGCCTTGCCATCCTCAAACAATTTACCCCAAATCCGCTCCAGAGTAGTCATCTCCATAACAGTAGCGTCCCGGTCCGGAGGCTTCGGGCGCTCTGCCTTATGGTAGCTATGGTGACTCCGATCACTATTCTCACTCGCTATAGAACCACTTTCTGGAACGGATTCTGGAGTAGGTTTCAGGCTGAGATAACTATCACTAGCGTAACCGGAGGGGACGTAGGGCTGGAAATTCCCAGTATGGATATTGTCGGCGGCCGAACTGGGCGGGGGAATTGAACTGCTTCTTTGAGGAGGTATTCCAGGGGTAAACTCTGCGTTCGGCTGCAATGAGGAATCTGTTTGCCATGGTGGCTGCTGCGATTGCGAGCGGGGCGGGGCCGCACCGGATCCTTGTATGTTGTCTAACCCAGTTGTCTTGAGCTGCTGAATCACTGTCGCTGTGATTTGAGACAGAACTTCTGGGGAGAGGTAGCCTGTGGAGCCACTATTGTGAAATGCGGAGCTCACTGCATCGTCTATATGCCCAGTGTTCGTGTTATTTGAGGAGGGGCGCTGGGGTTCAGGGTAGCTGTATGGCTCCGGGTTTGGACTTGGGGCGCGCGAACCAGTCCGCGGCACCTGTGGCTGCGGCATATTCAGGTGGGCCTGTTCGTGGTGAGATGGATATGGAGGTGCTGGCGAGTACGCATATCCGTTGGGATCTGGGTTCATTTTGCCCGTTTGATATGTATTCCTCGTGTAATTCCCATCGTAGGCCATACGGGGATTCGGGAGGTTAGACTTGGCTGGGCTGTTTTATTTGCAGATATGTAATCCTTGCAAACAAAGAAAGAAATTTGGAGAAGTTCTAGAAAGAAGGATTGCAGATCTGGGAGAGGTTACGAATTACCAATATTATGGAGGGGCTAGCGGGGGGCGAGTGAAACGTTGTGGCGATCACATCGTCACTAAGAACGAGACAGATTTAAGATTCCTCTTTGTACCCCTTCGACGTCACATTGCTCTTTAATATATTCCTTTGTTAGATTAAAGTCCCACAGATGTTCTGTCATATTGCTAGACTAGGTCAGAGCGACACGATCGGCAGACTAATGGAGCGCATGCATATCGAAGTGCATAGCAACCACTGTGGACTTTGGTCCTATTGGCTTTATTGTCAAAGATTGGCTATTTTGTGGTTTCCTAGGCTACTGTAGCATAATAATTAATTGAAAATAAGACTTCTAGTCAGAAAATTTTGATATTAAAAGGACATCGTAGTGGTCTCTAATATCGTCTTCCGCCAACTAGGTATTTGAATTATTCAAGTTTCTAGTCGTTAGGCACAGAGGCTGTATAAGCTGACTATTTTGCTTTGTATAGCTCATTGTAGATTCATAGAAACATCTCATTAAAAAGACCATATAGTAAGTCAAGTACTCTATACAAAGTCGAAATTACTTTGATGGATCCTCAAAGCCAATAGAACAACAGTCCTCAATGGTCGCTATGCACTGCGATGCATCTTCCATGCGGCACGAGTATTACAGTTTCCCTTGCACCTATCAGAATTGAGCAATGTCATTGCTAACTGTTGGCTAGAATCCGATGGTTGGGGCTCCAATAGATAGACTATGTTGTAAATTATTATTGTAGCCTTGTGGGTTATATATTCCATAGGGCCCTCTTTCCATGCTTTCCACCAAAACTACCTGAAACCCCAAATCTAAGACATCTGCTATAGTCCTTATAACCGTCCTAACTAGAAATACCTGGATGCCTGAGTAATGATTTTTAGTAACTAATGAACTTGAACTACGATTTATTTATAGTATGTGGGTCAACGGAACCACTGATGTCATTCCCATGGCGCTATTGCCTCCCGATCCATGGGAGTTCAGAAATAAAAATGGCTTTAGATTGGTACCTGAGTCATAAAACATGTTCTATAACTCCAGAAAAGAAAGCAGAAAAAGAAAAAAAAAAGAAAGACAGAAAGAAAGAAATAAAAACAAGTAGACAGGGTTATATCAGGTGCGAACCTAGAAGATGTCCACCCCACCCCGTAGATAAAAGCTTCATCACAGAATATGAAAAAGAATTGCCAGTAAGATAAGATATGCACCAGACACAGAGCTGGAATCACTAGAAACTCGCTGGCAAAAGGGGGCATCTGTAGACAGGGAAACTTACGGGCAGATGCAGAAGTCGAACCTTGTGTATGCGAAGGCAAGCGAGAAACCAGGCATACTGTGAAGATGAAGAAGATGAATATGAAGAGCAAGGCCGCAGATTGCAATACTAGGTGCAGCCCGGCAGCCAAGCTGCTCATAGATAGAACATCGTCAATCATAATGCGAATGTCGATTCGTAGGAAATGCACTGGCTTAGGGCCGGAAATAATTAGAGAAACCTTCCTCCTTTCCAGGGAGTGCCATCATTAACTTTGCGGGTACCAGGTGCCCAGCCCGGGGCTAGCTCGGGGGCGGGAACAGGCTGCCGATGAGGACGGTGTGCCTGTACGATACCATTCTGTTAAAATTCCATCCAGAAGTATGTATTATTGGAATAAAGAGTCACTCACCTTGACTTTTGCAAATCCCTGAGCATCATTACTATCACTATCCGTGGAATCATTACGCAGGACAAGGGATTTCTCGACACCCTGCTCCAGACTCTCCTGTATGTATACACATGAGTAACCAAGACTTGATGAGAGCTGATGTAGTTCTGACCACTTACCGGCTGACTTAGAGAGTCAGAGAGCTCATCGACAGACTGAGAGTGTTCCGCAGACCCGGACAGAGCTCCGGATCCAGACCGAGAGAGAGCCACAGATCCAGACTGAGAGAGAGCTACAGACCCAGAGGGAGCTCCAGACTCAGAGCTGAGCTCCTCTTCCGCTTCTTCCTCCTTATCCTTATCCTCAACCTCAACTTTCTCTGTGATGGCAAGAGGTTGATCATCAGAGTCGACAGCATCGAGGGACATCTGGTAGTTCATGCAGGGCTGGCAGAGCTGTTGAAATCAACCAAGTGTTAGAAGTATCCAGAGTAGATAGCTCAAAAAAAGAAGAAACATACCGGACTCTCACGATTGCGTTGGTTCCTGGCAAATTGGTCGATGGCACGGTAGTGGCCGCAATAATGACATAGCTCCTCACAAACCTGGGCATTCGTACATGGGCCACATTTAGCAACCTGTTGGTCACGAATGTTACTGTAGCCAAGATGGAAGATAGCCTGGCGGAGGTAGTTGAGTTGGTTGTTCGAGTACTGGGACTTCGGGCGACGTCGCTTGCAGACACAACATTTGATTCTAGAACAGTGAGCAGGTGAAGATCAAGGCGTGCAAAAATACTGACTCATTTGGAATGGGCGTTCGGTCGACCCTATTGATATTTTGTTAGCGCCTGTCTGACTCCCTAAGGAGATATTTGATTAACTGACGCATCTCTTATTTCTGGTGTGTATCCCCGGGCATACGGACTCATGGGTGCCAACCTATGTCGCGGGCGCATGGTAAAATGGTATTCAGAAAGGTAGAAGACTCAGCGAGGAAATTGCATAGACTGGCAGGATACTACACAGAGTGAGCGTAGTGGCTGAAAGTGGGAAGAAGAGAAGGGGAAAGGAAAGGACGGGGGATTTATACTAACAGAGGTAGGCACAACGAGGAAGGTGCATGGGTTGGTCTCTCCGGAAGTGAGAGCTTCAGGATGGGCCACTTCAATCACCTCAGGTTTGCTTTTCCATCATAAACATTGTTTTATTCTTTTGGCTTTCAAGCTCTGCCAACAAGAACTGAAGGCCGGAAAGTCAAAATGATACTAGGGAGAGGGGCAATTCAGGACATCGATGTCAAATCTGAAGTAGATATATAATAACTGAGCACACAGCTGATGTAGATATGTCATGCAGATACTACAAGTCAAAGATATCATCAAACAATATGAAGAGCATTCTGTGCCAGAAAGCAAGCACACACAACATAATCAATACTAACTTGGATATCGAGTCTATTGCTTAGGGCAATAACATATATTCAATCAGAAGAGTCTTGTTGCAAAGACCTTCAAAAAGGAGTAACATTGAATCATCATTCTCACCTCACTTCGATGGAATAAGTTAATAAGTTTGCCCCCTTTGCACTATATTCAACATTTTGCGGCTGATTCTCTATACCAGAAAGATGCTCAGAGAAGAGAGACTTCCAAGGCACTACCAACAACACCACCAAAAAGGGTAACTATGAGGATCCCGCACCATCCCCCGACTATTTCAAGGTTCTTCTAAGGTTTTAGTATTATGATTCAAGAGTAAACATATAGCATAATGAAAGCTATCTTGGACATTACTAAGTCCATTACTTAGTCCTGGAGGGGAATGGCAGAGATAGGAAATCTTTTACAACACCTTCATAAAGGAGTAACATCAAAACTAAACAGCAATTCCACCTCACTCAAGGCACCGACATCCGAGAGCACCCTATTTTCTTTCTAGAAAACCATAGAAGAAGCGGAGAAGATCCCGTAATAGAAGTATAATTGATATTCTCTGCATATAATATAGGGGCATCCCCCCAATCTAAAGAGGGGCTAGTTTCAAAACCAACTGGGCCATGAACGTTAGTTCCCAGAGCAATGGAAGAAGCTAGTTAGGTATGACACACATAAAGGACCCAGTTTGGGCAGCACGACAGGGCCAGGGGAAGAAGGAGGGGCATCTATCACTTCAATGTAGGTGCATTACTGCGGTACGCAAGACATTGGGGCCACCTTAGTTGGTGATCTAAATATACCCGCAGCCAGAATTAGAAGATCCATGACATGCAGTGGATGGCACTGCCACTGTATACTCCATAGACTAGGTAGAATCGAGGGCTAGTGCTAGGTAATTCTGCAAGTAAAGACTATCTGTTAGTATGTGTTGTCTGTAGGTAGACACCTTCCCGATTCGCAAAAGCTTTATATATTACTCCGGAGAGATAAAATATAAGGGTTACTGGAGTGACAGGTGGACCACTCTTAACACTCCAAAGAAATTAAGTACTCCGTATCAGTACCGAGGGCCAATTCAAGCTAATTTAGGTCCCTCGTGCACAGTTGGGACGGATAATCTACTGGACTCAGATCTGACAGTTCCATCGATCAAGGGGTGTCCCGAGGCTTCTACGGCTTCCAGAAACTCACAGACGTTTCGGGGTTTGGAGTGGGCCGCAATTTAGTGTCGAAGATAGTGTGGAAAGTCGAAGGTCTAAATCGCGCGGTAATTTGCCAACGGTCAGGAAGTCCATTAGGAAATTCGGTGCGAACATCCTTGTAATCGTGTGTTTTGTCAGCTGTTTTTTTTTTTCCGGACCAGGGGGCCTGTTAGGGGGGCAACGAGTCAAGAGCTCAAGGCAGATTTGCCCCCAACAAGCTCTCAGTTTAAGAAGTCTAAGGTCTAAGCAAAAATGACCCCATCGTAAGGCATAACCATTCAGAGGCCGTTGTCTTGCAATAAATTTGGATATTTGATGATCATATTTCCAGGAACCACCTTCTCGAAGGTCGAAGGAACACGGCGCCTCCCGGCAGTTTGGGAAATAAATAGTTTCTTTTCAAAAGTGGCGATGCTGCAATCCTTCCCCCCCTATAGGGGCCCTCCGCTTCATCCGCGGGGGTCTGGATGAGCCCACTGTGGAGAATTCCGTATTCCCCCGAATCGACGGTGCGTAACGAGGCGTTTGTGAGGGATGAAAGAGCGTCGTCATAGGCACAATAAACTGGATAAAGTGGGCTGCCTTTTTATGATGGGGCCAATGGCATTGTTAGTGCATCGACTCCATCGTACTACTGATCTTTGGTAGTTGATGATTGGTTTGTAGATTGATAGGCGTGGAGTATAAAGCCCCACTGAACGAATCATAAAGGAGAAAGTGGGATTGGTAGAAGGAATATGTATTATTCGGTGTACAATTCCTCTATATTGTACTCCGTACGCGGTGTGTACTCCACGTCTTGTTTTCCTGCCCAAATAGTAAGAAAAACTATTTTGTGTGTTGAAAAAAACAAAAGTGAATTGGCCCACTAAATTTGAACCTTGGTTTCGTGTCGGTACGGCCCTTGGATTTGCAAAGTAAAAATTTCATCGGATAAGGGGCGAGCGCCGAATATTGAAACAGTGGCATGTTATGAGTTGATGAGTTGAAATAGACTGATCAAATTTATTTTCAAGCCTTGCAGAGGGAAATCTCGGACCAGCCACAACGGTTGCCCCAGGGTTCGTCCATCTGACAGGTGCATTCTATCCCGCCTCCTGCAGGTAATTACTGTGTAAGAGGGCTTGAGTTTTATCATTTTTCTGTCTTTGCGAACGTCCCTAGCTTTGGAGTTAGTGGAGAAACCGGAATGATGCGGTTAGATTCTTACCGCAAGATGGCTATAACGGGCTTGGTTTATGATCTTACTGTCATCACTTTGATTAGAGTCAATATTAGACCGTATACAGTTAATTCCGTACTTGACTCTATAATTTTATAATAGGTCAACACATCCGGCACCCATGGCAACAGGCACTCTACCATGTCTTTGACACGGGATTTCAACAAAGAAAATCGAATGCTTGGGGAAAATCTACGCTGTTCCCAATCGGAGACGGCTGGGAGAAACCTGTCAATGATCTCCCAAGCATACGGGGTCCAGACCCCATGTACCTTTGAACAAAGAAAGAGGTGAACGCATCAGATGCAACTTCCAGCTCACCGCGGCTTAAGCTACATGCTCCATGCCTTTCTATCCCGCGAACCTTTCCGTCCACCCGCAAACCTAGTTTACGAATTATCTTCCACATGGCCGAGCCAGCATTTTACCCCGGTATATGATTGGCCCTAGTCGGCGGATCAGTCAGAAAAGAGACAGCGAGATACCTCTTCTCTCCGATGCATCAGGAGATCAGGTGGCGCAAAAAAAAAAAACAAAACAAAAAACGAGGCAACAGGATGTCCGAACCAATATCAATCAAAGTTAAGAAGCTAACTCCAACCATTCTATACGCGAAGTCCTAAAACAGGGATTATCCGTTCGAAGCCGAATAATAAGACAGACGGTGTTCTACTATCCGTGCGAGAATACAACTGGCAGCAGAACTCCGAATGTAGGACATGACATAAGCGACATGCGATGGCAAAAGAAAGGATTCTCCTTGCTGTTCTCGCCCATTCTGCGAGTTGTGTCTGTAGTACATCTTACATGGTACATCTGGTACGTCAACGGAGAACCTAGGTACATCTCCGATGGAAATGACTCGTACAAAGGCGTAGTAAGATGATTGGTAATTTTGTTTCAAAGTTGAGATGAGATGTCTTCGTAATTGGGATTATTAGAGTATGTTCTTGAAGTGATACAAAGTAGTTCGAGGCAACCAATTCAAATGCTCGAGTCTAATAAATTACCAAGGCGGCCCAACCTCTTCTGACACGCCCCAAATAGTGCAGACTAGGGCTGCGTGGGCAACGGTTACAGGCTGCACATAATTACTGTATGCCCAACCTTCTCAATTATTAGGCGCCGTGCATCCACAGCGGTCAGATGATAGAGAATACAAAAATGTGATAGTGATATAGGGTTATGGGAAATTTCAGTACAACATACAGCGTACAACATATAAAATTCATAGTATATAAATGTTAGTTAATATAAACCATATGAATTTATATTATAAATGACTCTCTTTTCTTTTTCTTTATTTTGTTTTCAAAGTCTTCAAATGTTTTATGTGTTTTTTTAGCTCGAGGAACTTGTATGGTAAAATAAGGTACCCGTTACCACTATCAGCGTCCCATTGGTTGAGACGGGATCAACCCGTTATTTGGGGTTTTGGCTGGTTTCGGTTGGTTTATTTGGTTTATTTTCATTTTTAATCTTTTTAATTTTTTTGGTTCTGTTTGGGTTATTTTCGTAAATTAGTTTATTTTCTTTTTTCTTTTTCGTATAATTTCAGTATTCAGTATTGAAGTCTGGATCCTCATACAGAACTACCCACCCCCTCTCTCTATGCGCCTGTGTGTGCCTCTCTTTTTCTTTCATTTCTTTCTTATACATACTTCTTATACTGCTAAATTTCTGTTTTCTCCTATACATATATCAAGTGACCTCATATTCGAAGCCCGTATTTCGCCACGGTGGACTGATCTGCAACGACCTAAAGTCGTTAATTTACCGTCTCCACGGCCCCGTCTAGGAGCTCAAGCTGTCACCGTCAGGGGCTCACCCTCGGTCCTCCGATCCCTCCAGTTTCCACCAGAACGGGTCTCCTCCTATTCTGGATTTTCCTTTTTATTGCATCGTGCCCGGTCCTCAGTCTTTCCAGATCGCCCACTACATGACCACCGTCGTTCCCCCTCCAACTACTTCGTCACTCCTTACTTTTCCGTCAATGGGAACCCAATCATCTGGCTCTGATTATCGGACATGAACATCTGCTGCAATTGATACCTATACATAACACACTCACTCGGGGATACTACGGAACTTTCCCC